GGCCCCCACCTGTGCACCAGGCCTCTATCCTATATAGTAAAAGGGTAATATGCAAACTGACCCTAACAGCAGAAAGACTGGGAATGACTGGTCACTATGACACACACTGACCACCAGGGGGCAGACGCTCAATGCAGGAGCTGCCCTCTGGTGGTCAGTGCGCTCCCACATGGCAAGTGGACATCCCCCGAGGGCTGCCGGGCTGCCAGAGGAATGTCTGATTGCCAGATTAGGCCCAATCCTCCAGGGAGTAGGCCTAAGCCAGCAGGTGGTCATCCCCTGAGGGGTCCCAGACTGCTAGAGGGCACGGCCAGGCTGAGGGACCCCCCCCAAGTGCACAAATTTTTGTGCATCGGGCCTCTAGTAAGTCAATAAAAGCTAAGAACATATGATTTCACTCATATGTGGTATATAAAACTGAAACTCATGAACACAAACAGCAGTGTGGTGGTAGCCAGAGGAAAGGAGATGGAGGAAAAATGGGGTCCTACTATAAGGTGACAGGAGAAGATTTGAGTTTGGGTGGTGGACACATGGTGCAATATACAGATCTTATAGCATAGAAACCCACACCTGAAACCTATATGTTCGTGTTGACTAATGTCACCCCAATAAATCTAATAATAAAAAATAGGTCATATCTAAAAATAATGTTTATATGAGAATTTTATTTTTTAATATATTTTATTGTTGATAGTATTACAGATATCTCCCGTTTTCTTCCCTTTATCCCCCTCTTCCCAGCCCCTATCCACCTCCCCAAGGTCTTCACTAGCGTATTGCCTGTGTCCATGGGTTATGCATATAAGTATATAAGTTTTTTGGTTTATCTCTTCTCTTCACCCCAACCCCACAATGAGGTATATGACAATTTTAATAGAGGAAACATCACAAAATAGGGGGGAAAGGATAAATGCATATTTTAATTCACTTAAATAAAAATATAACATTTAATTTTTAAAGTTTAATTACCAAAAAGACAATCCTATCTAATAATAGTCAAACATGGTAATTAACCATACCTCCACTACACTTCCCATTGGCTAATCAGGGTGATATGCAAATTAACTGCCAACCAAGATGGCGGCCGACAGCCATGCGGCTGAAGCGAACATGAGGCTTGGTTGCCCTGGAGATGGAGGAAGCCAAGGTTCCCCGCCTGCCGCCGCCCAGCTCTGAGCCTGAAAGCAACAGCTCCGAAATGCAACTATGTTTCAATTATAGAAGCTAAACAAACCCCAGAAACCTGCTTTCAGCCAGCTGGTCTCAGAGCTGGAGCCACAACAAAGTTTCAATTACAGAAGGTAAATAAATCCCAGAAAAAAGAAAAAAAGAAAAAAAGGAGAGACTGGGAGCTTCAGTTGCAGGCTTGGCCCTCCTGAAAACAGCCCTCAGCCCCTCATCCAGGCTGGCCAGGCACCCCAGTGG